ACTTTTCCACACAGCAGATTGGTTGATTGATTTATTTGTGTTTAACGGCAAATTCAGCACGATTGGCTATTTCGTGGCGGTCAATTTTTATTGTCAGAGGAAGGCGAAGTGCTCAGAGAGAACCACCGATACACACAGTAGACATTTTGTGGTTGATTTAGTGGTAAGAAATGAAACTATGGTGTCAATATTTGTTACACATACAGCGTGTTCAATGCAGAATATTTATTGTATCTAATATTCTCTCTTAAGTTTTTCTAAAAATTGGTTATGCGTGCAAACAATGGTATACTTCCAACAAACTATACGCTTTCAAGAAATATTGATAGACATTTTTTTTTTTGGAAGATGTGGGGTAGAGTGCCTGGTGCCTTTTTTCTAAAGGGAGCTTAAACTAGGTTAAAATGTACTTGGGAGTGTCTGTAAATTATTACACTCAACCTGCTACATACACAGTTGCGTGCAATCCATCATATTTATCGGACTACTACCCTAACACTCAAATTAATGTAAAAGACAAGTTTCATTTAACATTTTAATACTTGTCCATCGCATGCCTATGTAGCAGGCAATTCTGGTAGAGATTCGAGACAACAAACTCCATATGCCACACATTACTTCTAGAAGTAACAACCTTGTTTTTTATACATATGTTGCTAGGTAGGTGATAAGAGATTGTTCTACTAACAGTAAACATTTATATATTTATACTACTACATGGAACTAAGAATACAAGTACGGAAACAAAATATCGGCTCTGCAAATTGGCTAGAAAAATTGATTCACATATATAGTTCCGATTCTTTAATTGCAACGCTAGGAATTAAGGTCAGGGTGTAAAGCTTGGGTTTGAGTCGTTTATAATCTGGCTAAGGGAAAACAATAAGAATAGCTCTTTTTGAATGCATTTTCATTTTTACTGTATGTTCTTTTTCTAAAAGTGTGATCGTATGTAAACTTGTCTCTCATTTTTGGTCTCGGAGCCTGGTCTATGTCAAGCAACCGAGTTAAATATTTAGTCATATTTAAATTATTTATACAATGTAGATCTACTTTGATGTATATTTAAACCAGAACTTTATTTAATATAGATCAGACCATTTCATAAAATTAATTGTATTCCAAAATATGCAAAAAATATGTAGTAATATATAGCAGTTGTTATCAAATAGTCCGTTTCTATGTATGTTGACGTTTGTTTTTGTTGCAGTTCAGTGTTTCTGTTGTTCCGTTGTTTTCCTCTTATAGTTGATGTGTTTTCCTCGGATTTGGTTTGTGACCCGGATTTGTTTTCGCTTAATCGATTTATGACTATTGAACAGCGGTATACTACTGTTGCCTTTATTTAGCGTTATCATGACGTGAACGTCAAATTACAGTTATGGGGACATGTTATTGGACATCTTAGATCGTTTCGTATTTTATACCTGCAGCTCAAACAAAAATATATATCACATCATTTTAGAGGAAATAAACTGTATTTTCCATTCATATCGGTTAAAAGGTGTTCAAAATTGTGGATCAAATAAAATTTCGTTCAATAAACAGTCTCTGGGATATTCTATGCGTCATTTTGTCCAACGGGACATTTTATAAGACACGGGAAAACTGACGATGTTTTGAAAGTAAGACTGCAGTTATATAGTGAGGACTTCATTAAGCTTCTTTAGGACATGTATAAACTTTCTGATATTATCAAAAGCCACTTAAATCTGTTTTATCTTGTGATAGTGAAGGCAAAAAGTTTTAATAGGAGCTGAGCAGCTGAATGGGACATTTTTTCTCTTCCTAAGCTCAAAGCGTCTAACAATCTTTTTTCACTCACAGTTAAAAACGTTTATGTTTAATTGTATACAATACTGTTGTAAAATTTTATCTCATTTAACCTACTAACTAGTCCGCATTGTGATTTCAAAGACACACACAAAACAAAATTTTGACAGCGGGACACCCTTAAAATGACGTTATAGCCGTCGAAATGAGCAAAGTTTTTCTTTTACATAATATACAATGCACAAATTCATATATTTTTTTTGATTTATCTGGTTTATTTCCTTTCGAATGATATGCTGATCATGGATATATATTGTGTAGGAAAAGAGCGTGTATTGGATTAACCCGCTATCTAGCGTATTTTTTCAAGGAGACACCAATACCGTGAGCAACGTCTATGATACTATTGAGTAGATTTACAAAATATAAAAATTAGTTAATGAACTCCGTTTTACAAACACTTGTGATACAAGTAGTCAGCCAAAATAAACTATCAATAGACCAAATAAAAAATTACTTAAGTTGTAAATATGTGCTAAATTGGATAGTCTATAAAAAGGTATATACTATGAAATTAAGAGCTCGGGGCAAGCCCCTCGCTCTAAATTTCATAGAACATACCATTTCATAGACTAACCGATACTTAAAAACAATTATAGTTAGCAAAGTTGTAAAATCAATCCTCCATGTGACATTGACGCCAATTTACCACACATTTTCATTAAACAATATAATTAACACCTTTATTAATTAGTCCATTGTTGCCGATTGATATCAATTGCAATCAGCTGATTATTGATTTTCTGACAACATCGATACGAGTTCAAGGAGAAATCCGAGTATTGTCAAATCAGGGAAAAAGTCCGAGAAACTTGAAACAAAATTAAAAAGATGGACGAAGTCGAACGTTATATTTCTTTTGCCAAATTCTTTCGCCAGTCATGTTTTTTAATCGCCACGAAACCCTGCTTTCAACTTAAATTCAAAAGTGAAGTGGCAATATTGATTAAAATGATTCAATGATGTGATTTACATTTTTTTCTTATTATTTCAGGTCATTATTGATCTAACTTTTTAAAGAATCGAACAGTTAAGATCTCTTTCAAAAGTCCTGGAAATTGTTTGACATCTAGACGCATATTGGAAATGTTTGAAAATAACAAAGACGAGAAGGAATTATTGGTCAGTCTAACATCGACGAACAATTTAAAATCTTTTATGAATAAACCTGATTTGAAGCTGGAAACAATTTCTGCTTTTGTACATATTTAAAGCAAGGCATTAGAAGCAGAGGTAATGCGGACCTGATGTTACGGCTGTTATGCGATATCTCAGATTCAAGCCTTCTAGGTTTCGATGGCTTGAGGTTACTACAGCAGTATGACGAACATCTAGAATGTTCCCATCCACTAAACTGTCTATTAGATGATTTTATTCTGATAATTCAGCAGCTGTTTATGAGAACATTAAGTTCTGCAATTACACCACAGACGATTGGATTAAATGATTTTCTAAACCAAAATATCATAACGAGCGACGCTTTAGTTGAAAAGGAAACAAAACTCAAAAACGTATCGAAATTAGGAAACGATATAATTCACACCTTAACAGAAAAGGCAAAATGTAAGACGTTAGCAAAAGTTGAAGACTACTTTGAGGATAAACTGTTACCACCAGACGATTTTCGTCGACTTCCTATCATACCGAGCGATTGAGATGTATTTGAATATACCGAATTTCTTCGTCGAAACAAGTCAAAAGGGCAGTATTTAAACCTTGAACACTATCTTGATGTTCAGTTTAGATTATACAAAGAGGATTGTATTTGTCCTCTTAGAAGCGCGGTGAAAGAGAACATGCAAATAAATCAAGACGAAAATCAACCACGTAGTCGTCATTCGTTTAGAAGATGGACGGTTATATCGTAATGTTAAAAATTTTGGGCACAACGTTATTATCTGAGTTTGGATCGGTTTATGAAATCAAACTCGATTGTCAGTCAGCACGTAAATAAAATAAACTGGTGTACTTCAAAAAGACTAATATATTGGTCTCTTAAATTGTTAGTCTTTCATTTGATAATTTTCGCACTGTTTTGTTCGCAGTTATAGTTGATTCTGACAGAAAACATTTAGAGCGGTCAGGTATATTCAAGACCCAAATATTCACAACGAGAAATCATAAAAAAATTACACATAACGTCAACGGTGTAATGATTGAGTCATCCTCAGTTTATTTTGAATCTTATCGTCATGTTTTGGCTGCCCTAAAAAAAAGTTAAGTGGCACATTCCATTTAAAAGATACATTGTCGATTGCGAAAGAGATATTTGTCCACCAAGTAACATTAGAGAAGGGTCTCAGACTTATGACTTCAAACCTGTCACGAAACAAATTGATTGTGTGAATATAATAAATATTGAAGTATGGCCTAGTACGGATGATTTACAACTTGAAGCTGCTCAATGAGAAGCATTTCATGCCGCTTTAACAAAAGAGTTCGTCGTAATACAAGGTCCCACAGTTACAGGTAAAACCCACATAGGACTACAAATTGCTCAAATACTACTGTACAACAAGAGAGTTTGGAGTGATAGGAGTGTTTTAATGGATGAACACAGGTTATACAAAAGAATTCCGGATGATGAAGATATGTTTAAATATGAACGTAAAAATTCTGTCATGGTTGTCTGTTTTACAAATCATGCCTTAGACCAGTTCCTTGAAGGAATAATTAAATTCCAAAGTTTCATTCCGAGGGAAGATATTGTCAGAATGGGGAGTCGATGTAAAAATCCATCAGTTGAAAAGTTTACCCTGTTTAAACATCGATCGAGGTTCCTATCGAACTATCGTAAAACAGCTTACAAACTTCAACGTATGAAAAACATAGATTGCCACACCATTACACTTGTTGACAGATTAAAATCACGCATGGTGCAAATCAAATCCAGATTAACAGCTATTCAAAATAAACACATTGTTCTTGGCTTCATTGTTTTAAAGACTGTAATTTCCAGCGATCATAGAAAAGAATTCGGAGAAAAGCCAAACAAGGCATTCTACCGATGGCTTCAAGTTACGGAAGACTTTTGGTACCAAGAAGTTGAGAAAATCTATCGAGAACGCCCTAATGGTTCAACAGGCCGAGACATAAATTACCATAATACTGACGATGATGCAGTTTGTATTGATATTACAAGTGAAGCAGAATTAGAAAACGCTGAAAGACACATAGAAGATGACGAATACGATGAAGCAGGTAGTACCGAAAATTTAGGTTTAGACATCATAAAACAGCTAAAGAAAAACGAAAAGAAAAATATTGAGGAAAGGTGTCGTGACGTATTGCGCAATGAGGCAGAAAACGTAAAGCAAAACATCAAATTTGGAGAAAAAATTATCAAAGAAACAGCAGAAATCATCACAGATCTCTGGGAACTAACTTTAGAAGATCGCTGGAAGTTTTATCGTTTCTGGGTCTCCGAGTATATAGAATCAGAAAAACAACAACTGATAGACACTGAAGAACTTATCAGTGCATTGTTTGATAGATACAAAAAAGCTAAACTTCAAATTGATGAACTGATTATGAGCAAAGCATCTGTTATTGCACTGACAACAACGGCTGCAGCCCGATATTACGATTCTCTAGCAAAACTGAAACCAACAATTACAATTATAGAGGAGGCTGCTGAAGTATTGGAAGCACATATTGTTACAGCCCTCAGTCAAAATTGTCAACACGTCATTCTTATAGGTGACCACAAACTACTGGAACCTAAACCAGCTGTTTACGAACTTGCAGTTAAATTCAATTTGTCGGTCTCTCTTTTTGAAAGAATGATAAATAACGATTTACATTATTATTTCCTGCAAAGACAACATAGAATGAGACCTGATATTGCAGATCTGGTCAGACATATTTATCCTACTTTGGCAGACAACGAAAATGTAACTTATTACGAAGATGTTGGAGGAATTCGACAGAATCTTTACTTTATCAACCATTCGAGCCCTGAAGTTTACAGCGATGATGGAAGAAGTTATTCCAATGAATTCGAAGCTGAATATGCAAAATAATTATGCAGATATTTGTTGAACCAAGGCTACAAGCCTAGTCAAATAACGATTTTAGCAGCCTATTCAGGTCAGATGTATTGTATTCAAAAGAAAATGCCTAAAGCAGAATTTGAAGGTGTCACCATATGTGTTTTAGACAACTATCAAGGCGAAGAAAATGAAGTCATCATCTTGTCCTTAGTTAGAAGCAATCAGAACGAGGGTATAGGGTTTCTTAATAAAGAAAACAGGATATGCGTTGCATTATCTCGAGCCAAGAAGGGACTGTACATCATAGGCAACATTGATACTCTGACAAAGAAATCCAAACATTGGCAGGTTATATCTAATAAACTAAAAAGTAAAAACGGCATCGGCAAAGGTTTGTTTTTGTATTGTCAAAATCACCCCGAAAAGCAGGAAATTCAAGCAATATCTCCATTGGACTTCCTAAAAGCCCCCGATGGTGGATGTGGTATTCTCTGTGAGTTTAGGCTGGATTGTGGTCATGCATGCCGATTTAGATGTCACAATTTTGATAGGGATCATACCGAATATAAATTTATGAAAAACTGTCCAAAGACATGTCCGAACGAACACCAATGCCGTAGAAGATGTCACGAACCCAATCCATGTGAATGCTCTGTAAAAATAGAAAAACAACTTCCATGTGGACATATTAACCTAGTAAAATGTTATATGGAGCCCTCGGAGCATAAATGTTATACAGAAGTAGAGAGACTTCTCAAATGTGGCCATACCTCTTTAATGCCTTGTCACACAAAAGTTGACAGCTTTAAGTGTAAAGAAAAAGTAATCGATACGAGATCTAAATGCAGTCATGAATACGAAAGAGAATGTCACGAATCTAAGCGTGTATTCGAAGATAAAATCAAATGCTTGATAAAAACAGAAAAGACCTTCAAGACGTGCAAACACAAGATTATTGTAGGATGTCAAACTGATTTTGATAAAATAAAATGCAAGGAGTCCGTCACAAAGAAATTCAACTGCGGACATACGGTTGAAGTAGATTGCTATCTAGCAAAAAATGTAACTTGCAAAGAAAAATGTACAAAGGTTTGCGACAAACTTCATGTATGTAATGGGATATGTCATTATCCTACTCCATGTAATTGTTCCGAAATTATAGAAAGAGTCATATCCGGATGTCAGCATGTACAGAAAATGTCTTGTTCAGAGGACTTGAACACGTTTGAATGTTTGGAAATTGTACACAAAACCTTACCAACATGTGGCCATATAAACAAGGTAGAATGCTATAAAAATCCAAAGCATATTTATTGTTCATTTGATACTAAAAAGAAAATGCCGAACTGTCAACACGAACAAATCCTTCCATGTAGTACAGATCCGGTATTAGACCATGTCCGGTGTATGTCGGACGTTGACGTATACTTAAAAACATGTGGACATTCTCTCAGCGTTAAGTGTTGGGAATCAAAAGAGGAAAGGGAAGAATCGGCTTTACAATGCAATGTAGCAGTTCCGTATACGTATCCGTCATGTAACCACACAACAAATATCCCATGTAGTATGAAACAAGTCATCGATAAAATCGATACTGCAGAAAAAGCAATGAATACAAATGATATACCTTTATGTTGTCATCACATTTGGCAAAAATTACCCTGTGGGCATTCAATTCAAATTGAATGTCATAGAGCTGGACTTCCTATAAAATGTACTTCAAAATGCCAGAAACTGCTTTCATGTGGCCATATTTGTACGCATCTTTGCATTGAATGTCAGGACGGCATGATCCACAAAATATGCCAAAGAAAATGCGAAAAGGAGCAGGTATGTGGACATAAATGCAACGGTTACAATTGTCTACATTGCAAACCTTGCCAGAAACCATGTACTTACGCTTGTGACCATAGAAAGTGTACCAATACGTGTATTCAACCATGTTAACAGTGTAAACAACCGTGCGTCTGGCAGTGCCCTCATTCCAAGTGTTCCAAATTATGTAGCGAAATATGCGACCGTCAAAAATGTAGTCAATCATGCAAAACGATTCTTGGATGTGGACACATATGTTCTGGATATTGTGGCGAGCCTTGTCCAGATTTCTGTATAGAATGCAAACCAAATCAGATTCCGGACGATAGGAGCTATCCATATTCAAAATTTTGTAAAACCGTAACCCTGAAGGCATGTGGTCACACATTTACGGATACAATTTTAGATGCATATATGAGGAAATCAAAAGATGCTCTTGTTATAAAATGTCCAACCTGCAAAACAATCATTCATAAACATCCAAGATATGATCGTGTCCTCAAATGTAAAAAGCAGTTTATGGAAGAAGCTAAGAGCAATATTTTGAAAAGGAATACCGGTCGTCAAATTACATGTCCTTGTTATAGTGGAGACGTTGCCGAACTTATAAATACGTATCTAAAAAAAATTGCAACCTACAGACAAATTGTTAAGTACTTGAATTATGATCAAAACTTTGTTGACAATTTATCGTTTACAACTTGCATTGCCAATAGGATACACGATACTGTTAACAGGGGTTTAAGTTATATACATAGTTTTAAAGACTTGTTTCAGGAAATCTATAAATTACATGCTCTTTGGGTCGTAACAATATGTTCAAGTAAACCGGACGCTTTGGAAGCTGTCTTTGACGACGAGCGTGTTGCTGAAGTCGTAAAACTTTTCAAAGACAGCAAAAAGCATAGCCATTTGATTGACACTGATGTTCTTCTTGATATAAAACATGACTCCTTTACCGCTGCATGGCCAAGACCAAAAGATACAACAAAAACGACCCACATTAGCATTAATGGGAACGATGTAGTAAACTTGATAAAAACACGAATTGTTCGAGCTGAATATGATTACCAACATATTGATGAGTTACTTTCCCTTCTTATCAGAAGCCTTGACAGAATTGAGGAGGATGCGCATTTAATTAATGCTAAATCATATCCTGTCCTACGAGATAAGATGGGGATTCATCAGGATGAGTGGGTCATATGCAGAAAAGGTCAGTAGATTACACACACACACACACACGCACACACACACACACACTCACTTACGCACACACATATCATGAATGTGAAATAAAGATATTAGATTGTTTAATATTTTTATTCGTCGAACCTTTAAATAGTAGAATATCAAGTAGAAAAATACCTCTTATGATATACTCATCATAGATACCAGGATTAAAATTGTGTACTCGAGATGGCGTTTCGTCTACAAAAGAATCAAAAGGGCCAAATACAGTACTTCATGTAAGTTGAAGAGCATTGAGGACCGGTTTCAACTGAGTTACATTTGTAACAATGGGAATTTTGAAAATATACATTAGAATTCATTTCACATTCCTTCAATTTTGCGTTTATCTAGCTTCTAATAGTTATTTTTATTTGTAAATGTGTTCTATACGTTTGAAATATCAGGACAAACTCTTTTGCTTAATAACTGTAATGGCTGGTGTCGTCAGTAAACGCATGATGATGATGATGACAACGACGACGACGACGACGACGAATTAATTGTAGTATTTCATTTGAACATAAACACATATAATTTGTCTAATTTACTTATGGTTTCCTTTTTAAAGGTCATATATACTCTATAACCAACGACGGCATAACGTGTTGTGTATGCCGAGAAGCAAAGAAAAAAAAGCAACCCAAAAAATCCGTGGCACCAGACGTAACTAAATTGGACTTTCAAAAAGATACAAGGAGTTCCCCGAAACAAATACACTTTTCATGGGGCGAATTTAGAAACCAAGTTTCAGACCAAACTCACTTTAAACAAGAACAAGACAGATCAGTTGAAGGTAAAGAACAGATGAAAGAATCCAGAATCGCAATTAATGAAAGAACAGTAAGAAGTAGTACACCCCAGAGAAGACCAAGAGGTAACTTTAGAGGTCGCTGTCGCTCAGCCAATGAAGGAAAACGTGGAAATCGTTCAATGTCACTTAATGATTTTATTACGCCGTTATCAAGTGAACATATCAAATTAAGCTCCCATCCGAATCAGTCAACTGGAATTTCCGATGAATCACAGAAAATGATGAGCGCAGAGGAACAAGAAGACTTTCCAACTTTGACTAAAATTGATAAGAAACCAGAAGGCAATCTCAAATTTTACTGTCCAAAGAAAGATAATCCGACCATAGCAACAACAAAACAACAGACACGAAAGAAGAGACGATGATTATATTCACATTATTATAGTGAACCATACTTTTGACAGCAGGAACAACCAAGTGTACAAATACTTTTCGCTGTAAATTTTTTATTTATATTTGCTTTTCTTTCACGAAATTCTAGTCAATCAAAACTTCCGAATTAATGTCAGAGTCAAAGAGACACACAAGGGAGCAACCACTTAACTTCAAGGGGGGGTTTTTGGTTTTTATCTGAGTCAGAAATCTTTTTTCGCCAACATTTTTTTTAGTTTTTCGACGCTATCAATCAAATTATTTTTTTCAAAATTTAACACTATAAGGTATGGGGAAAATCTGGATTCAGAATTTTAAAAACCATAACCCTACCCCCCCCCCCCCCCCCCCCCCCCCACCCCTTTTTGAAGTTAAATGGTCGTTCCCTAATCTGGGGTAGAATATTGGTACACATTTGTTATCTTATGTTTATTTAATGCATCACTTTTGTGTATCCATGGATTTTTACACAATGTACTTAGTCTAGTTTTGCGTTGATTGACATTTTTTTTTAAACATTTAAACACATACTTGCATTTCACTTTATTTTTCATTATACGTTTTTTCATTATAGAATTTCACTAAACTGAAAGATATGTACATATATCTGGATTTTGAATAAATAAGCATATTCACCTGCGGAAAAAGTATATTCACCGCGCAAAACGTCGTGCTTTTACGTTATGTTAAAATCGTTTGATGTATAATTGGTTTTGGTAAATAATTATCATTATATACATTTCTCTTGGTACTCTCTCGGAATATGGAATAAAACAATTATGTCTTTTGTTTCGGTAAATATGTGGTTTAATTGACTTTTGAAAAACTGATATTCACTTCGGCCGCTGGCCTCAGTGAATATCAGTTTTTCAAAAGTCAATAAAACCACATATTTACCTCATCAAAAGACAGTAATTGTATATTATTCAATGCGCGATAAAGATGGTATCTAATTTATGAGCATTTTTTGCATATACAAAATATAATCGTTTCGGAGCTAATGTTAATATATAGTAATGGTTATCAATTGATTTGTAAGTCACAATACCGGCAAATTCAGTTCTTTACAAAAGACTCCATAGTTTTTGCATTTTTATTTTATGGTCTTCAAAAAAGCATAATTGGTAAAGCTCAGTATATTTTTAAAATTTCCAAAATGAACTAGTGTAGCAGGTATTGCAGGGACTAAATCTGATAGAAATTCAAAGTTTATAAAATGGTTTAGACAATATTCATTCAATAACTTAAATCTACTATGATTTAAAATAATCTTATTAATTGATCATTTATACAACTTGGATTAGTTTGCATCTAGTGTTTTGTGGTCTGTTGTTTGTCAATTCGTCTTTTGACCATGATATTGTCTCGTTTTCTCCGACTTCGGGTTTTGATCTTTGCCATCCCCCCCCCCCCCCCCCCCCCCCTGAGAATAAAAATAAAGAGATGAAAAAAAGGACGATGAAGAATATGTTTAGGAACAATAGCATCAATAAATAGGCTGATCAAAAGTCTTTTGTCGAATTCCTATGTTCTTACTGCTGTCATAGATACTGTGTGAATCTAACATTATGCTCCGAAGGTTTTAATATAAAAATAAGAAGATGTGGTATGATTGCCAATGAGACAACTATTCACCAGATTGTTTTGGCTTAACAAACATTTGGCAACTTCCAAATAGAAGTTACATTTAGCCTAGTATTAGTAAAGCGTTCCCAATTCAATGAAATAGTTAAAATGCATAACCTAAATATTTCATTGAACCTTTTTTGTGATATACATTGTATTTCAATAATTGAGAAATATCGTTGCTTCTGCACAGATACTATTTGATTCTTTGTGAAACTTTTTACGATTTCGTAAAATATTAAATATCTTTGTTACAAGCACTAATTAGTTTTACCAAAACGCACTTGTTATTGATATATTAAAATATATAACTGAAACTACTTGTACTTGTGTATGTGCTAATTTTCTGAAATTCCGATATAAAATAAAAAGTGAGAGGTGTTACCAAGCGGCTGTAAAAACCCACTTGCCGAGGAAAGACTGACACCATCATTGCCAACAGAAAACAAAGTAACTAACAAACAATTGTTACAGTCACAAAAACACTACACTGACAACTAAAGACCCCATCAATAACCGAGGGTTGACTCGTGTGTTCCGGATGAGTAAGCAGCACCTACTCTACAGTAGCAGCTATTGTGTTTCTTGTTTCAAGTAAAATCCTTGTGATAAGTTACATTCAGTAATGTCATAAAAATGTACGCAAAAACAAATCATATTTACGTATATGTATATGGTTAGTACATTAATAAATAAGAATTTCTTGCCTTATTTTTATTATCTTTTATAAACATATTTTCTGAAATCATGATTAATTATTTCAGTTATGCAAGTTAGATAGATTCCAGTGTAGTAAAAAGGACACAGATGTTTAAGTCTACAGGAAAACTTAACATCTATAATTTATTTTGATTCATTTGGTTTTACTGTCAAATGGATATTCATGTTTTATTTCTGCGAGTGAAATGTCAAATCACTAAAACAGCAATCCTGCATCTTATTGTTTTGAAGGGCCTCCTATGATTATTTAGCTGAATTATACATTCTCCTGGTCTGGTCTCTTATTCTCTAATTTAGAGATAACATCAGTTACCTGAAAGACAACCATATATCAAAAGCATTACTTCTGTCACATGATATACATTACTATATTTTTGAAAATAATATAAAAGAATAGATTATGCTCACAAGATGCAAGTGATCGCAAAAGTTTCCAGTTACGGGATAAGCACTATGTCATCCATTGTAATTTTCAAGCATATAAGAAAATTATGACGATAATTCAAAAAGAAATTAATCTAGCTTTAGGTGTATTTCAATAGTTTATCTGTTTGTATGCATCGTTTTGATTTGGTTTTCATGTATAATTGCTTATGGATAAAACAATACTTAGGCTAAAACTCCCCTAAAACCAAACCAAAACAAAAAATACATCTAAAGGCAACAAAAAAGTCTTCAACAATTATAGGCAATTGTCTTTACCATTTTTTTATATCTAAATCTAAAGCTTTAAATTGCTCTGAGTCTAGGAAAGCTGAAAATAAGTCTAACACGGAATACACATGATATGCCATTACCACCAAATTTGTAAAAAAATAAGAAGATGGGATATGATTGCCAATGGGACAACTCTCCACCAGAAACCAAATGCAGTAGAAGGTTAACAACTTGAGGTCACTGTACGGCCTTTAACGAAGAGCAAAACACATAACGCATAGCAAGCCATAAAAAGCCCCGAAATGACAAACGTAAAACAATTCAAACGAGAAAACTAACGACCTGTGTTTTTTTGCACTTAGTTCATTGTTATATGCCTGTAATTTCCTGTAGTGATTAAATTGCAGAGATTTGTGCAGACCTGTATTACAAGCTTCTTCATAAGAATAAGACACTATTAAGAGCAATATGAAAGTTAAATACTGTAAATTCAGAAATTATTGCGTGCATTTATTATTGCGAATTTTGTAGAATGGACTAAAATGCGAGATTAATTATTGCGATTTCAGAAAAAATCTACATACGGTTATATGTATCAGATATAAGAATGCGAGTTTTTATTATTGCGATACTCATTCAGTCGCAATATTCGCATTGATAAAAACCTCGCAATAATTTCTGAATCTACATAGTAATTTTGAAACCGTGGTTTCTTACGAACATACCCATATAAATGTTTGATTACGCAAAATGGCCTAAAAAAGGAAACAAAGTTCTAATTTAATTTTTTTTACATTAAGCCAACGTCTTGAACTTTTTCAGTCGGACAATATTATACGATTAAAGGAAATATGGGTATACATAATTAGACAACAACCCATCAACATAAATAACAAAAAGACGTGTGAATGAAAACGTACCCATTTATATATCTGCGCTGCTGCTGCACTTTTCTTCATTGTTTCCTCGTACGAATACTTCTTAATAATATTCATTGCGCTTTGTGCATTTTCCGGTTTTAAACTTGCGCTTCCAGTGTTATTTTGGATTGCAATTTTGTGTTTTGCTTCTCTAGAAATGGCTTGTAAATCATCTACTGTCTGCGAAAATAAATACAAAATATTTTGCATTGCTTTTCATTGAAAAGTTACATAACATCGTCAAAATATAGTAATTATAAATTATAATTGCTTTAAATTCGATGGCAGCCAACGTAGAGCTATGTAAGGGCCAAAAGATTAACAACAACCATTTTTATCTCTATTTCTCTGTAGGGTTTAATCTAAATAAACAATTTATAAGTGGAAGAATTTAGGAAAGGAATATGCAGACTTTTTTGTTGTCAAAGTGGGCAAAAAAAAATAAAGACTTTTTTCAATTTTTCTGAATGTAAAGTTTTAGAAACTCTTTTGTTCGTTTTTTTTCAATGCAACATCAATTAGAAATGCCAAAGATATTGTGGAGAACAGATATTTATTATTTGACTGTGTAATCAAAGCATAAGTCATTTAAAATGTATGTCAATGGAATGTGTATGTGTCAGTCTGTCCTTAGTAGTCATAATTAATCCTGTGATTGACCTATCTTTTTTTTCAAATTTGGCATACTAAATAAACTCCAGGGACTTCCCAATAATTTAAATAGAAAGAATCATAGGTAAAACTGAAGTGATGGTTTCGGGTCAAAATATCGAATAAACGCGATGCTGACGGTTTCTCTGGAGCAATCGACAAATTTGAATTAAATTGTGCCGTAATTTATATATCTCAATTTTATTTTTTAAATCTCTTCAAATGGTCTCATTTGAACAACTTGTGATTGACTGTTTTAGTTTATAATTGATAATTTTCGAAAGATTATGAAGAGTTGAACAAGGATTTACGGCATGTCAAATCACAAGCGCGTAGCACGTATGCGCTCAATTAAAGTTTTATTTTATATATGCATCTTTTTTCCTAAAACTTTATCCAAAATATCGGTATAATGAGAG